TGGATACTTGGATGTAGCAAAAATTAGATCCAATGTGTCCAAGCATTAACAATTAGTTAGATTGCAAACTATAAATATTTAGGCAGTGATTAATATTCACAATATTGTCGTCATTATTGCAGATAGTTTTGTTTTGTGCTACTTTTGCCATTAGCATTCGTATTAGATCGTATTAGTATGATTACACCGTGCGCATTGAACATAATCAATCATATCAATCATTACCATTACTATATAGCAACCACCAAAATAAAAAGAAACGTACATAAATTTTCATTTTTCTTCGGGGGGGTTGAACAACTTTCTCTATTTTTGATGTAAGAACAGTCACTATCATTTCAGTGGGACTTTACAACTTTCTTTCAGTAGTTTTTAAGGCTGGTTATACTTATCACTCTCGTTTTAGTGGGATTTTCATGGATTTTCCCCCCAACTGAGCTCTATCACATCTACATGTTTGGGGTTATGACCTAACCATTCGCAGCAACGTATTAGCACCGTGACCCCCGACCGACAACGCTGTTACTAAACCAAGACGCAACGCTGAGACCAACGGTATCGCCATGAACAGTGGGCCTCGGATTCAGCGATCAGGGGGAGAAAAGGGTGAAACAAACCATTGGCATAGTATATAGATATAGGTTTCTTTTAAACACACACACACGTATATAGAGATAATTATATAAATATATATATCATATCTATATCATATGTATATATATATATTCATATATGTTTATATTACATATATATATATCATATATATATCATATATTTATATACATATAGTTATTTGAGGACATAAACCATACACTCACACACACATAATATATATATATACACCTCCTTTACAATGAAATATAGCCTATCCATATAGCTATAGAATGTCGTATAACAATTTCAGTTTACTAAAAATCCTGCGACGTTTGATCAGTTGCCATGCTGCCACTGGTGATGAAGGTGAGTATTGTGAGCTGCACACGGTCCTGCGACGTCAGGTGAGGATCTACTGGCTGTGTCTGACCATCCTGGAACATGGCCCATGTTAGTTGGATGAATTGTTCAAGTGATTTATCTATATATAATATATAACTGGTTGGTGGTTTCAACCTACCCCTCTGAAAAATATGAGTTGGTCAATGGGAAGGATGACATCCCATATATTAATATATATGAAATGGGAAATTCAAAATTCATGTTTGAAACCACCAACCATACATATATATATATATACATACTTCTTAAAATTACCATTTTTGGTAGTCAATCTGGAAATATCATCTCATGCGGGAAACAAAAAAAAAACCTGTCTTCTGAAGAAAATTCCATCCCATCCCCAAAAGACCCTCAGAAAATTAACCACAGAAGCGTTGATTACTATACAAAGGGAAGGGGTTAGTCAATGCTTATCCCTCAAAAAAATTGCCTTCCTTTTTCGAGGGATTTCAACTGAAACACCTTTGCCAGCCTTATGTTCATTGGTTCTTGAGCTCTTGAGGAATTTAAAGCACGTGATTTAACACAGCCAGAGTATGCAAGAGTCATACCCTACAAATCTCCCCTAGCCACTGGAGATCCAAGAGAAATCAATTGAGCAATGTTCAAAACTCGAAATGTCATTCCGTGAAATGCTGGTTGGTTAAGAATGTATTTCCCACCTCATGGATCATGATAATCCCCAAATATGAGAGGTTGGTGAATAACCTCCAAAGCAATCTATCAACTATCAACCACTCTTTTGTTCTTTAAAACGGATATATATAATTATAAATGATGGTTCTCCTCCAGTAAACTAAGATAATTGACCATAATACCCTCTGGTAATTTAACATAGCCATGGAAAATCACCATTTTTAATAGGTAAACCATCTATAAATGTGCCATTTTCCATAGCTATGTTAGTTTACCAGAGGGTATATCATAATGAGCTATTTTTCACATGGACCCATTTTTCTGATTTATTCATTAAACTCATGGCCTGGCAAAGGGCTATGGCAATCGGCATGAAGGCCTTGCGGTACGGCGCGGCGAAAAAAAACGGTGGTCCGTTGGCGAAAAACCCAGCACTCCACGGAAAACCCAGGTCTTTTCGTGTTCTCATTTTACATGTTACCATAAAAATTGAGGTACCCTCCGGTAAACGTTTGCTAGGACAGCTAGGATCCAAGATTCTGATCCTTATTGCCTTATTTCAGATTGCTGGTTTTTGACGATTTATCCAGATATAATATACCCTCCGGTAAACGTTTACATAACTAGAAGGAAAATCATCATGCTATTTTCATGGGTAAATCCACTATTTCGACTGGGCCATTTTCAAGTTCGCAAACTGTAACAAATTACCAGAGGGTATATTATTATGTTAACCATCATTATATATTAACCACATATATTAACCACATATTCACCTCATATGGGGCTTCAATCCCCATGGCCAGGATGTTCCCCGGTGAAATCTCTGAAGTCAACCGGAACCATCAGCGGCCATTGTGGCGCTGATTGTTCCTGGAGCTACGAGGTACCATATAAAAGCCGTATATTTTTTTGGGGTACATATCCCCCAACATAGCCCTTACATGGATCTTAAATATGGTGGGTACCTCCAATAAATCGGTTCCTGACATGGCCACTGAAACAATTTAGAGACATGGCCACTAGACATACTTTTGGGAGGCTCCATTTCATCAAACTTCCCACTGGCTGGTGAAATCCAGCCAGAACTCTATTATATATCATCATGTCTGGTGAGCTCAATATCCCCAGCGATTGATCCTCATTTTGAAATAGATCAAATTTTAGGCAATATATATGTATATATATATATTATATCAAATAGCAAAATATGTCAACAATGTAAGCCATATATGTCAACAATATTATATATCTGGCAATGTTGAACATAGCTCATCCATTTCAAATTGCCTAAAATTGCCATCTGGCTAGCCTCAATTGTTTCATCGAATTGAATAATGACCATCCTTAAGGACTGGCTATACCATCCAATTACCGATTATAGTTGGTCACACACACATATATAATTATATATTGTATATATAGCGTATATACATATATATACCACTACATCATATCTGCATTAATATCCCACATAAATCCCAATATGGAGAATGTGATAAACCCAACGCCATAAACCATCCCCAAGTCATCACCATTTTATGGCTTGGATTCAAACCATCCCCAGTCATGGTGGGTTAGCATGATGCGGCTTGGCATTGGGTTTCCGACTATGAATCACTATTAATCACTAACATAGATGTGGAAAACTAATGATTTCCAACGGTAAATATCATTATTAATCAAAATTAATCATGATCAATCATTGTGAAAATCACTATTAATCACTATAATTCACCTATAAATCACTATAAATCATCCATACATCACTCTAAATCTCGCCGAGCTGCTGCGATGGACATGCTGATGCGCAGGACTCTCACGGATCCTAGGCGACGCACCAAGGGGCCCAGCAAACAGCCGAAGGTGACCTGGCGCCAGAGGTCAACCCTGTTGATGGTGAATATGTGATTAATATATAATGATGGTTAATATATGTGGTTATTATAATGGTGAATATATGGTTAATATACTGTTAATATATGGTTATTATATGGTTATATGTGGTCAATATATAATGATGGTTAATATATGTGGTTATTATAATGGTGAATATGTGGTTAATATATGTGGTTAATATACAATGATGGTTAATATATGTGGCTATTATAATGGTGAATATATGTGGTTAATGTAAAATGATGGTTAATAATAATATACCCTCTGGTTATGACTCACAGTTTGCTATGGAAAGATCCACCATTTTGAACGGAAAAATCCACTATGAATGGCAATTTTCAATAGCAAACTGTTAAATTGCCAGAGGATAGCTCTTCACCCCAACTGGTTGGTGGTTGAGCCTACCCCTCTGAAACATGATGGAGTGAGTTCGTCAGTTGGGATGATGACATTCCCAATATGATAGGGAAAAAATGTGCCAAACCACCAACCAGCTAAAAGACCCATGGTTTAATGGTAGAATCATGGGATAAGTGGAGAAAATCATTGGAGAATAATTGGGGGATCAGCGGGATAAGAATGGGACAGCGGGAACATTCATGGATTTAGCCTCCGGTAATGAAACGTGGCTTGCTGGAAAATCCACTATAGAGTTTGTTTAATGATTTTCCCAGCTATATACAGTATAGAGCTCCAATTAGTTCGGGAATTTCCCATTGCCATGTTTGATTGCCAGAGGGTAAGCATCAAACATCGTGGTAGAATGGGGATAGGATGGAAAAATCATCGGGAAAATGATGATCTACTATACCTTTTTCATAGTTTGCTATGGTATGGATGGCAGATGATTTCTCAATTGAAAATGGTGATGTTCACTAGCTATGATAAAAATATAAATGACCAGGGCGTATGCCCTCTGGAAAAAATGCTATAGCATAATACAGCTATGGAAAATGACAATTTTTTAAAGGACATACCCTCTGGTAAACTAACATAGTTATGGAAAATCACCATTTTTAATAGGAAAATCAACTATAAATCACCATTTTCAATAGCAAACTGTTAAATTACCAGAGGGTAATGGGACAATCATCTGCACATGTTGTTTTGTTCTTTATGATTTTGTTCCCGATACATTAGGTGACATGACCAGGGTGCATCGGGATCGTCATCCCGTCAATTTCTTCGGGATATCGGCTTAGGCCCTGGTAAACTAACACTTTGCTGTGGAAAATGCTTGTTTTTTTCGGTTGATGTACGATGTACATCGATGTACCTATGAAAAAGATTCAACCATGGTAATTAATTGTTCGCAAACTCTTAGTTTACCAATGGGATACAATGGGAAGTGTGAGAGCGGCACACTTCATCCCTCAACTGTTGCCACTGTTGCCTTGCTCAACTTCTGAGGAAAGAATCATTGATCTGGATACCCTCCGGTAATTTAACATAGCTATTGAACATGACCATTTATAGTTGATTTACACATGAAAAATTGTGATTATTCATAGCTATGTATAGCTATGTTAGTTTACCAGAGGGTATATCTGGATAAATCGTAAAAATCAGCAATCTGAAATAAGGATCAGAATCTTGGATCCTAGCTACCCAGGCTTAAAAAAACCCATCAATTCTCATCCTGTTAGTTGGGATGACCTTGACAGGGTCGATGTCCTATTTTGGGAGATTTGAAGTTGGCCAGTTTTAGTTGAAAAAATGAGCCCCTTTAGAAAACAATTCAAACATCAAGGTCCCATTTGAGGGTTGCACCCCCTAACAATAAAAACTAGTCACCACCGGAGTGGTTTTAATTCGGGTCCGTCCTTTCAAATCACAAAATATGCAAACATTATAGTTATTGGTTTAATTCGGGTTTTAATTTAATATTAGGGGAACCTTCGAAATCCATTTTTTAGAGATATTTTAATCATCGAAGGAAGTTTAGAAGTGAAACTTCCGACAATATGGACAGTTGAAAAGCAGAGGTGAAAAGAGTCAGAAGAGAAAAGATCAGAAGAAAGAAGATGCAGATGCGCGAAAAGGTAGGAAAGTCGCGATTCACTGTGTTTTTCCAATGATTTGTGGCTCCGGAGAGTCGAAAAGTAGGCTCGCTAAAGCGGCGGGTGCGGAGCTAGCTGGCCAGATGAGAGATGAAAAATTGCACGCCGTTGTGGCGCGAAGCACATTTCCAAGTCAAAATGTACAAAACACTAGAGGTCGGACCACTTTTGGAAGTTGAGATGTCGAAAAAGTGCACGCCGTTGTGGCGCGAAGCACATTTTGAAGTCAAAATGTACAAAACACACCATGGTCGGACCACTTTTGGAAGTCGAGATGTTGAAAAAGTGCACGCCGTTGTGGCGCGAAGCACATTTTGAAGTCAAAATGTACAAAAACACTGAGGAAGTTTTGAGCCTTTTTTGGAAGACGTGACCACTTTTGGAGGCTCAGTCGAAAAAGTAGACGCCGTTGTGGCGCGAAGCGCTGATTAACGTGAAGATGTCTTAACTAACTTGACTAACTTAACTAACTTCACTAACTTAACTACCCTAACTTCGACGACAACAGCAACAGCAACAGCAACAGCAACAACAACAACAACACCAACCACAACAACAACAACAACAACAACAACAACTACTACTACTACAACTACAACTACAACTACAACTACAACTACAACAACAGCAACAACAACAACTACAACAACAACTACTACTACTACTACACTACACAACAACTACAACCACACAACAACTACAACTACAACAACTACAACTACAACTACAAAACAACTACAGCTACAACCATATGACTGCAACTACACTACACTAATTACATTACACCACAACTACAACTCCACTACGCTACAACTACAACTACAGTTGCAGTACATCACACTACATCCAGCAGTTGTGGGTGCGGTGACCACTGCAACCATTGCAACCATTCCAGCAAACACAACTCCAACCACCTTTCGGTCAATCAGTGGCTTCGCTCTGCCATCCCTGATTCGCAACAACCAACTTCTCCTATAGGTTTCCTATTTTTGAAACTTCCGCCACCGCCTTGTGCGGTACTACTGGTATAGAATTTTAAAAGGGATTTAATCAATTTTGAACTAGTTTTTTTTGCTTACTTTTTTAAGTTAAGGTTTTAAACTTAAAATTAGGGGAACTTTCAAAATCCAATTTTCCGCAATACTTCAATTAAATTTGAACAATTAAATGAATTTAATCCATTTTGAAATCCAAATGTGTAGTTTTATTTCAATTATAAAAGGTTTTCAATTTAGCAGTAGGGGGAAGCTTCGCACCCTAATACTAAATACCCCCTAAAAAAAATCTAATAGTTATTGAAAACTCCCCCATCTGTTCATTATTGGGGGGGTTTTAATTAGGGAGAAGAGATTACTCATCAACCGCTGCACATGTTTGCAATTCCTGTCATGAATTCCGCCAAACAAAACCATCAAGAATACCATCAAAAACCATCAAAAAGCCAGTGTAAGACTATCACAAGACCTCCACAAGACCCTCAATAATCCAATCATAAAGCACATCGTTAAAAAAAAAACAACATCAAACAATCATAGATCCATCATTTAAAAAACAAATGTCTGAAACTATCATACAACCACACAAAGTCATGTATTTGAGGGGCGCACGAGTGCGGACACAGCCCCTGCAGCGAAGAGGATCAGCTTCTCCTGTCGAGTGAAGCCCAAGTAGCCCATCATGAACCTCGGAAAACCCCAAGGAATTCCCTGGAGGTGACACGGATGAAAGATGCGGAAATTGTGATGGACATTTTAAAGGAATTCATTGGAAATTAACGGGAGTTAAATGCAAATTATGACAGCATCCTGGCAAATTATATGGAAATCCGTGAAAATAAATGGAAACTATCATGGGAATTGTATGGGGTTCAATGGAAATATACAGAAATCAACGGAAGTTTACCGTGGAATCTAGTGGTTCGTAAGCCATAAGCCACACTTACTAAGTGGGATGAATCTAAGATGCGGAAACATCCTGGCAATGTTATATGATTATTGGGTCATTTGGTCAATCTCAGATAATGTGGTAAACTCAGTGGCATGGGGCAATTCTGGGACAACCATTGGACAATTTGGAAACAACTTAGGGTTTAGGGCTTAGGGTTAAGAATGGTCTTGACTTCTGGCAGTCAGCCAGTCATTGAGTAAGTATATCAACCCTGGATGCATGTTAAGCCAGGTTGATTCATTCACGGGGTTACACCGAAAAAAGTAATCTATTTTTCTGTTTACAGGGTACTCCCGCAATCAAACAGCCCAGGGAGATTGTGAAACCGGGGTCGACATTACTACGCCACTACGCATCAACCAAGCATACATATGTATATATATATATTATATTATATGTAACAAACGTTCGGAATATGAACTTCGCTACCCTGCACAAATTGACCTTCGGCTGGATAGTTTATATGCAACGTGTAGCTGCGCCTCATGATATTTTTATTGGACGCACTTGGACGTACATGCCATTTAGTAGTCAATAATGGCCCATACCACCGGAGCCGGAGTTAATCCCATTTATGATTAGCGTTTCTTGGAAACCGAGCAAAAATGCATTTTGTAGATACATCAAGCTTGTGTATAACTTGATATCGTGTGAGTGCGCCACTGTGCGCCTGTATGTGAGTAGCAGTCCGCTGAAATTTCTGAAAACCATTTGTATCATACGGTGTAGAGCAAAAGTTGAGGGGATGGGTGCTCTTTTTTTGAGGTTCAATCATTCTATATATCCGCCTCCCATCCTTTCTTCCTTCTCCTAGTAGCAGCCTAAAAGCAAAACCATCCCACATCCATCTGCTTTGACTTCAGAGGCTTCCCATGGGTTCCCCAAAGAAAACATCTTAAGATGTCTTAGTTCCTCATTCTTTGATCCATTTGATCCTAAATTGACTTTAGACCCATGTTCCCATGTCCATATTCCATGGAGCCCAGCGGCGGAGGAAAAACGATGGCATAGCCACTGGCCCCCAGACCAGCCACCATCAAGACCACCGCCAAGCGCAACATGAAGGTCTCGGCAGCGGCGACGGCGGCGACGTCGTACCGTACCGTACCCAAATTTGATGCGACGTTCGGAGAACAGACACATTTAATTGTTATGATTCAGTCATCATATATTCTGTTCACCTCAAGAATGAAGCAAACAGTATGTGAAACTCATCGTAGATAAATCATGATAATTCTATGATCTAAAAAAAATGTTGTTTTGGGGGAATCACCCCTTACTAACCATCATGCCAGCGAGGTCGCGGTGAGGTCGTCATAAATTACCGAAGGATGATGGTTTGCATATTGATTGGCGTTTGATCAATGGGTTGACCATGACCGGCGATCTGAATGCCATGGTCTTAGCTATGGCAGCTATGGAGTTGGAGAATGGGATGGGCCATATATGGCCATATGTTGGGGGGTTGCCAGCCTCAACGCCCCGTGATTCATAAGTTTTTGTGTCGCAACAGAATTCCCTCTAAAAACAGAACCGCCAGAAAAGACTTTGGATCATCTTAGTCAAACGCTCATTGGGTTGGTTTAATTGAACATCGTGTTTTTCAAACAACAACAGAACATCACAGCTTGATGATTTGCCTGGCGGAATGGCTGGAGTTGTCCCAGTCATCTGAGTGTCAAGTCCCAAAAGTTTAAACACATTCCTTCGGGGAAGCATGGGGAAGCCATTGTTGTTCCAAATATGTCCAATATTAATTCCCAAGAAATCAGACAAGATTGCTTTTTTCATTACATCACATAGGATTGCCACATCCAAAATAAGAGATTTGGAGTTATCACAATCCATCATAATCCCCAAACTTCAAACCCAGCGGAAACATCACATTGTCAAACCCCTCGCAGACCCCGAGAACGGAAAACCCCTCAAAAACGGACACCTCAAAAGCAGCCTAAGCTTGGTTGTCTCGCTTACCGAAGTGGAGAATCGGATACCCTCTGGTAATTTAACGTAACTATGGAAAATCACAATTTTTGATGGGAAAACTCACTATTTTCAATAGCTATGTTAGTTTACCAAGAGGGCAATCCCGTTTTAATGCGGAATTCATGCGGATAATCCCATTGATATCTCCGATTCTCACTGGATTTCCGATATATGTTTACCATCACTTCACCGCTCCAAACCCCCAATTCTCGACTGGATAATACTGGAGATCATATTCTTACTTCAGCTTACTTCCATCTCAGAACATCCCCAAAATGGATCAAAATGGTTGGTTATAAATCCACATATATATATAATATGTATATAAATCATTATAAATCCACATCTTCCTTGGTACATCATCACTTTTCATCACTTTTCCCCACTTTCGAAGCCTTCGTGGTGCCCTTTTTTCATCTTCGCAGCGAGACACATTGCGTGAGATGACCCGGAACGCATCCTTCATGGATCGAAGCCTCGGTTGGGAGACAGCCATGGGTGCCATGGCTGCCATGGCTGCCTGGTACAGATTCTTATACTACCATCTGGTTATTTAACACAGCCATGGTATAGATGGCCCATAGAAACAGATGGTTTACCGAACTTAGAAATGGGTGGATCTTTCCATGGCGAACTGGCAATGTCATAACCAGAGGGTAAGCTATTCCCTACTAAGCATAGTAACTGGTGATTAGTGGATCGTAAGCACCAGTGGCACCAGTAAGCTATTCCTTAGTATGGATCGTAACCATGGCTTCCTCATATGGATCAAGCAAACTTACTGGTGCTTAGTAGGGAATGAGGGAATGATCCATAATCACTAGATATTGATGGCTGGTTGGTGGTGCAATAACCATCTTGAAAAATGATGGAGTTCGTCAATGGGAAGGATGACATCCCATATATGAAATGGAAAATAAAAAAGTCATGTTCCAAACCACCAACCAGATATCAATTATTGATGTTAAAAGTCATGATGATGGTATACTCGGTAACGGTAAGATGGCACACGACTTCTGGAAACTAAGATGGCACAAACGCCAAAAAGAATTAAGATGGCAACCGAATACCATGGCAGAACCAGGTGTGCCATCTATCTGTTCCATAAATGGGGGGTGAAATGGCCTAAAACCAAACGTCAGGACCCAGTCGATATACTTCTCCAGGAATGTGCCATCTTAGGGGTGTCAAATCCACGCGCAGCAAACTCTTCCTTTTTTGTTCCCCTGCTTCTGAAAATTCAGAAAATTTCGGAAAATTTAAAATTACATATTATATATATATATATTTAAATATAAAGAATTCAGAAAATTCAGAATCATAAATATATATATATATGTGTTTAAATATAAAGAATTCAGAAACTTCAGAAAATTCCGAAAATTCAGAATTATATAAATATAACAATCAAGTTCTTGCAAAACGCATGTGATCACATGCTCACCCCCCAGTGCAGCGGACCTCTGTTTTTGACCCCGAGAGACGTGGGTAGATTTGGGGTACAGAATCCAGAATCTGACAACTGGCTGATCAGCCAGGATAATGTCAAATCACAAAATGAAAATCCAACGAGCAATGCATCAGCTCGAAATGAAATTCTGCAGATCTGGCAAATCGGCCAGACAAAAACGAAATCACAAATCGAAAATAAATCAGCAATGCATCAGCTCGATCAAAACGTTTCCCCAAGAGCAAACCCAACGGGATCTGCTGATAATGACCCTCTCGCCACGTACATGCGTCCGGAGAGACAGCTTGGGATCAAAGCAACGAAATCTCAACCATCACGCCAGAAAAGCCACTCGCATGATCAGACGATGTGCGCTCGCTCTGGCTAAATGTGGGGATCCCCCCACCCCGGAAAAAAACCAGGCTGGGAGTGGTGGGAGCTGAAATAAACGATATGGATTGATCAATCTTGAGCCAAAATGGCATCAGGATTGATCAATCCTGACAACCATGTGGCACAGGGGGGAACACCCCAAATGAAATAATTCACAATGTCTGCAAGGTGATCACCTTTCAAATAAGATCAATTGAGGTTGAACAACCTCCAATGAAAATCGAATGAAATCACAGCATGAACATGCATCAAATCAAACAAAAACAGAGCAGCACTGGTGTGTGGAAGAACTAACGATTGACCCACTTATCCCAACCAAACCAGACCGAAGATAAGTGAACCAATCAAGTTCTTGCAAAACGCATGTGATCACATGCCCACCCCCCAGTGCAGCGGACCTCTGTTTTTGACCCCGAGAGACGTGGGTAGATTTGGGGTACAGAATCTGACAACTGGCTGATCAGCCAGGATAATGTCAAATCACAAGATGAAAATCCAACGAGCAATGCATCAGCTCGAAATGAAATTCTGCAGATCTGGCAAATCGGCCAGACAAAAACGAAATCACAAATCGAAAATAAATCAGCAATGCATCAGCTCGATCAAAACGTTTCCCCAAGAGCAAACCCAACGGGATCTGCTGATAATGACCCACGCCGTTCAGAGAGAAGGGAAGACTGGATCGATCGTCTTCCATCCAAGAGATTCGCCTATACACATTTGATCTCGTGACGGAGGATCGGCCGGATTGGCGTCCGTCGGAACTCTATCTACATAAAGGTTCACTCTAAGATCTAGAGCCAATTTCCAAAAGACACCTACGAGCTCGCATACATCCTCACGAGCTGAATATCCTTTCACCAATGCGCCTTGAACAGGTTCAGAATCTACGAGCAGCAAAGACCAAGAGCCCTCCAGTTGCGCCTCGAACGTCTTCAGCGCCACGACAGTAGCAAATAGCTCCACCATTGCAATTTGCGACTTCCTGGGGATCCACTTCTTGATCAAAGACTGCTTCACCTCACAACCGAACTGCAAAGGCATCTCGCCCTTCTTGAACAAGACGCCGCCGATCCAAGGCTTCAAAGGAGAGCCCGGTTTCCCGCCTGGGAAGCTACCATCAGTGAAAAGGACATAATCCGCCGACCTGGGGTTCGTCTCCAGGATAGGACGGGGTGGACCTTCCACAATGAGCCACCTCCAATGTTCAAGCGACAACACGATCGCCTTGTTCAAGGTGGTCTGGTTGGACCTTGTGTACTGCCGTTCTGACAGAGAGCGCAAGAAAGCCCTGCCGATCTTCCCCCAGAGCTGCGACGCCCCGAACATCAATTTTCCTCGGAGCTTGCCTGCTTGACCAGGTGGAAAAACTTGAGAGTTGAGGATCGCGTCGATCTCGTCCAAGAGCTCTTCCTTTCTGGACGGTTTGATCTTAAGGTGCATCGCCTTGAGATCGTATGTGACCCCCAAGATCGTAGGGTCAAAACATAGCTGCAGCTTTTTGGGATCGAACTGGGCGCCCAGCCACCAATGAACCTTCTGTGATACTTCGAACGCAGAAGAGCAAGTGGCTTCGGGCTCAAAACCGTACTTGTCATCGTAGAAATTGAACGCGGCGACAAAGAACAAGCGCCTGAGAATGTCCGTGATGGCAGCAGATCTTCGATTGTAATTGTAAACAGCCGCAACTAGACCAAAGGAGTGCCCGATCGTCATCACGAAGAAAGCAACCTTGCCCGACGAGGGTTGTCTCATAGCAATCACGCTCCACTTCCTCTGATCAGGCCTCACGGCGATCTGCCGGTAAGCTTTCCGTTCGTCCAACACCCAACCTTGGATGTTGGAGCCCTCCACTGTATGCGATCTGAGCCATCGAAGAGCAGCTACATTCACGTCGGTCGATGGCAGCTCGATCTTCTCAGTGACGACCGTAGCCATATTGACTCCATTCACAGTGGCGCTGTCTACGCCTCTGACCTTGTTCTTTTGGACGACTTCGAATCTTAGTGTCGGGATCCAACACTTCGTCCCAACAAACTAATCTACTTCCTCGACCGAGAACATAGGCCCGACACATGAGCCTTCTTGCACGTCCTCGAGCGTGGCCTCCCAGATCTTCTCGGTGTTCTCGGTGACCTCGCATCTGTTGACATTCTTGCATGATGACCAAATCGGAGAACTCCCAGGCCCTAGAAGAAAGAGCATCAACCGGAAGAAATTCCTCCACGGCCTTGAGCGAGGACCACCTCCGAGATTGTTGAACTGGCCCAACAATGGGAAAACCTTGCAGGAGATCAAGCAGCAGTGCCTGATCAATGCATTTTGCCGCCTGCAACATTTCGCGCCACAGAGCAATGTGTGTGACTTTGCCCAGCTGCGGTGCATGATGATCAGGGGCTCCGCGAAGAAGGCAACGCAAGTGTTGATCTGGCGCCGCGTTGATGAGAGCCTCAGTCGCGGGCAGAAGAGCCTGAGCCCGAGCTGACCAATAACGTAGAGCGCCAGCGCGATGACCAAGAACGCGATCAGGATGGTGCGTGACCAGAGCTAGAGCTTCTTGAAGATCTGGCTCAAGCGCGGGCTCGATGGTGAAAGGGTGGCGGACTTCGAGAGCCGCTTTCACTGCCTGACCAGGCTCCATCTCGACTGGAAGCAGCGGAGGCAATGCCGCGCGCTTGAGCTGATACTCTGCGGCGGAAGCTTTCTCCGCAGTGATCTGCTGCTTGTGTGGCTTCCAAGGCAGGGCCTGGCCGATCGGCCGCTTGCGGTCTTCTGGCCGCGTGACCATTGAAAAAGTAGGAGCCAGCGGGTCGGTAATAGTATCGCCAGGGGCGATCAGCCCTGCCCAGGCGCGACACAGCGCGGGCGGATAGACCTGCGCCAGCTTTGTCTTGAAGACCTGCTCATTGGCGATCAGCACAGTGCCCACCAGGGGCTCATGCACATGGGGCCGCACGGCCATGTCGCACTCCAGAGCCAACGGTGAAAGATCCGCCGATGACAAAAGAGCAGTGGGCTTCTTGTGCGGAGCACCAAAACGGCACATGTCAAGCAGGAACTGCTTGACTCTTGGCAGAGCGGCCAGGGCTTGCACTGGGGGCATGCGCCATAAAAACGACGATGCCGGGTTTTCGATCGACCACAAAATGCCTCGATCGTAGCACAGGGTTGCCAGAGCCGCAGTGAGTGCCATGAACTTGTTGCCCAACAAGCAGCCAACAAGAGCTTTTCTCGATCGCATCGAGAGAGATCGTGCCGTCCCCACAAATGTTGCCGATCTCGCAACGGTGGTGGCCCGCCATCATGTTTGCGAGCGATGCTGAAGGAGGAGCATGGAGTCGCAAAATGGATGAAAATCACTATGCCTATGCCCTCCTGGATCAAAAATTGCAAATGCTGAAAAACTGCAGGATCTAAAATATCCACTTTCTCCTTGACAAAATTGTTGATCACTATCTCAATGGGAGGCAGGATCTGCATGCCGCGAGCACTGACAGCTTGCGAGAGACCTGCTTCGCCAGCGAAAACTTCCACAAAAACTGGCCCTGATGGCCTCTGCATTGAGCCCCAAAAATGTTGTGATGGAACAATCAGAGCAGATAGCTCTTCATCCGTTCCGACCTTCTTGGGCTC